CTTGCCCCCCAGCGCCCCGGATACGGAGCCGCTACGGCACTGCCCGCGAGGACCTGCTGCCGGGGTTCAGTGCCCACAAATCCCAAACGCTCCCGGCCTAGGTGACGCGTCACCAGCCGTGAACGAGTGCAGAGTGACACTGTCGGGATTCCGCTGCAACGCCCGGGGCGGGGGGCGGGGCGCTGGGCCTCACGACTCCCGGGGCAGGGCGTGGGGCGAAGGCGCGGGACCGAGGTCTCGCCTCGGCGCCCCTCACCTGTCGCGTTTCCCGCAGACGTGTCTCCTGATGCGGCAGCAGCACGAGGCCGCGGCCCTGAACGCCGTGCAGCGGATGGAGTGGCAGCTGAAGGCCCAGGAGCTGGACCCCGCCGGGCACAAGGCGCTGTGTGTGCACGAGGTGCCCTCCTTCTACGTGCCCATGGTCGACGTCAACGACGACTTCGTGCTTCTGCCGGCCTGACGCCCCGCGGGACGGCCACACGGGACACAGGCGAGGGCCGCACGCGTCTGCCCGGCGCCGCTGCCGAGTCCGGGCAGTGCAGGGAGCCCTTGTCCCTCGGGCGGGGACGTCCAGGGAGAGACCCCGCACTTGGCCCCTCCCCCCGGGAGCTGCCGCGGGAGCACGCGGAGACGGCGGCCTCGGGGTCTGCTTTCCGGGCGGCTGCACGGGCATTTCAGGAGCTGCAGAACGGACGTATTTTTTACAATTTCCTGTTCCATTCTGATCAACTAAAAGAAAGAAAATTAAGGCGGCCACCCCTCACGGACAGTGACCTCCGGGTCGGAGGGCGGGGACGGGCTTCGGGCGGGCTGGGATACTGTGGCCGCCCGCCCGCTGCGGAGGGACACGGAGCCGGGACTCTCGGGTTGTGTTTTTAATGGAGTCAAATCCACGTGGTTTGTATATTTTTTCCTTTAATCTTGGGCATTTTGTTTCTCTTTCTGAGAACATAACTTGAAACACTACAGAGCCAATAATCATATAAAAAGTGTACCCGTAAACGCTGTACAGTTTTATACACATTCACAATGTACTTTTGCTGCCTTCTAGATAATTTATTTTGCAACACATTACTGCACAGTTGTAAATAACTTATGTACTGTAACATCACTTCAGTTATGTGTAAAGAAATAAATAAATTAATTAAATGCTCTTTGTACACGACAGGCCCTCTCCAGGAGGGGCCGACCTGCGGGACCGACGGGGGCTGCCCCACTGGAACACCACGCTGTCTT